GACAAATCATATACTTTGTTCATGAGTTAGAAGACTCACTGTTGTTAAGATGTCAGCTTTCCCCGAATAGATATATAGATTCAATATAATTCATTTAAAAATTTCAGCAGGAATTTTGGTTGATATCAACAAACTTATTCTAAGATCTTTACTTTTTGACTTTATGTTAAGTGTGAGTGTCTAAAGATGTAGAAATAATAAAGGGTAGAGCCGAAACCAGTTTGGCTCAGTGGTAGAGCGTTGGTCTACGGACTGAAGGGGGTCCCGGGTTCGATTCTGGTCAAGGGCATGTACCTTGGTTGCGGGCACATCTCCAGTGGGGGGTGTGCAGGAGGCAGCTGATCGATGATTCTCTCTCATCGATGTTTCTAACTCTCTATTCCTCTCTCTTCCTCTCTGTAAAAAATCAATAAAATATATTTACTTAACATCACTAATCTATTTTAGAAATCAGATATTCTATATGAAAACAGACTGGAAGAAGCCTGCTTCCCATTATTTTATTGATACATGGGAGAAATTATAATGCATGTCAATACCGAACCCCCCGAAATTTTCCCAAAACATAAATAAAATACAATGAAACATCTGCATACAAGCAACAATCTATCATGTTAATATTTGATGCGATTAAAACCATTGCTTCCTTCATACAGTAGTACTGGTATAAGGACAGACAGACAGACCAATGGAATATAATAGAGAGCCTAAAAATAAACCCTCACATGTATGATCAGATGATTTTCAAGAAGGGTTCCAAAATCATTCAATAGGGAAGGACAGTCTCTTCAATAGATAGCCACATGCAAAGAATGAAGTTGAAATCTTACATTACAGAAAATTAATTTAAATGGATCAAAGACCTAAGTGTAAAAGCTAAAAATATAAGAACTCTTAGAAAACATCGGGAAAAGGTTTCATGACATTGGGTTTAGCAATAATTTCTTGGATATGATACCAAAAGCACAGGCAGCGAAAGAAAGAATTGATAAACTAGACTTCATCAATATTTAAAACATTTGTGCATCGAGGGACACTATTAAGAGAGTTAAAACACAACCCACAGTATGAGAGAAAATATTTGCAAATCATATGTGTTAAGTAATTAATCTTCTGAAAATATGAAGAAAAACCCCTACAACTCAACAACAAACAGCGCAATCCAAAAATGAGAAAATAATGTGAACAGACATTTCTCCAAAGAAGATATACAATCAATAAGCACATGAAAAGATGTTTAACATCCATAGTCATTAGGAAAATGCAAATGAAATAAAATTAAATTAATTAGTGAGAGGTAATTAGGTTTATATGAGGTCATAAGGGTAGAGCCTCCATAATGGGATTGGTGTCCTTAGAAAGGGAGGAAGACTAGCATATTCGCTTGCTCGCTCTCTCTCTCTCTCTCTCTCTCTCTCTCTCTCTCTTCCCCACTTGAGAACAGCAGAAGGAAGCAAACTATAAATCAGGAAAAGAGCTCTCACCATACAGGCCCCTGACCTCCAGGCTCCAGACTGTGAGAAAGAAATGTTGGTTGCACCCTAATCGGTTTGGCTCAGTGGATAGAGCATCGGCCTTCAGACTCCAGGGTCCCAGGTTCGATTCTGATCAAGGGCATGTACCTTGGTTGCGGGCACATCCCCAGTAAGGAGTGTACAGGAGGCAACTGATTGATGCTTCTCTCTCATTGATGTTTCTAACTCTCTATCCCTCTCCCTTCCTCTCTGTAAAAAAATCAATAAAATGTATTTTTTTAAAATGTTTGTTGTTTAAGCCACCTAGTCTATGGTATTGTGAAATAGCAGCCAGAGTTGGTTAAGACAGGCAGTATGATTGGCGGGCCTGGGACCCATATCCACTCATGCCCAGGGAGGGAGGAGGGGCAGCGCCCTAACAGAAGTTGGATACTATTACTAGAAGAAAAGGAAAAGGAGCGCTGGACAAGCCCCACAGACTTTTCATTACAGCTTCATGTGGATATTTAATGAGGGATTCCTAAAGAGGTGACAATGTTATTTATTTTAATCATCACAAGCAAGAATTAACCTATTTTTGTATTAATGTTTTGAAGACTTTATAGATAGGAGTAAATTCTACATACATGAATCCTTTAAACTCTAAAGTTTAGAGTTTTTCATTCATCCCCAACTTTTTAAGGATTAATAATATTTTAAAGATGGAATGGTTTGAATGGCTCCACATCTGAAAATGGACTTTTGTTTCATTCTTCAGCCTATCTCAGTTTTATTTTCTTTTTTTAATATATATTTTTTATTTTAGAGAGGAAGAGAGAGAGAGAATCATTGATCAGCTGTCTTCTGCACACCCCTTACTGGGAATGGAGCCCATAACCAGGCATGTGCCCTTGACTGGAATTGAACCCGGGACCCTTCAGTCCACAAGCTGACACTATCCACTGAGCCAAACCAGTATGGCTACCTCAGTTTTCTTAAATGTTTTTTTAAATGTTAGTACCTAAGAACTACAGGATGGGGTGGTTTTGTGTATAAGAACCTTGATTATTACTTTATGGACAATAAAGAGATTTTTTAAAGGGTATTTTTTTTCTTATAGCCATTTTCAAGGACCTTCATGCCTTTCGTATCTTTAAGGCTTGTAACATGGCTTTACTATTATCAACTTTCTCTAAATTTCTGCAAGAACACATTCAGGTAATAAATAGTAATTTACAAGCATATTTGTCTTCAATTGGATTTATCTTTAGAGCCTAACCTGCTATAAAATATGAAATCCTCTCTGCTAATCTTTACTGAGCATGTGGCCAAAATTTCACATACTTTACCTCATTTAAACCACCTGAGACTAAGGGGTTGTCAGTTGAATTTTATAGGTTCAGATAATTTTAAAAACTTACTCAAGCCACACAGATACAGGGATTTACAGAACACAAAACCCATTTGTCTGACTTGACAGGTCCAATGCCGATTTGGAGAGACTCATCGGCTCTGAACAGTTCAGTGTCAGGGTTATGTGTACCGGCCTTGACCAAACCAGTGCCAAGTTTGAGTCCCAAAACTTCCACTTTCTAGCAATGCAATGATAACAGCAAATAGCTTTGAATGTTTTCCAAATGCTCAGCACTCTGTGTGCACAATATGTCATGCAACCTTCCTGAACCCTGGGAGTGAGGTAACACTACTATCGTCACCCCCACTTTACAGGTGAAGAAACAGGCTGCAGAGCAATTGTGAGCAGAAATGAGATTTAAATCCAGATGTTTGACGCATGTGCTCATAACTAAATGATATGAATTTTAAAAAAGGAGCAAAAGTAGTTGAGAAGAAATGAATCCATTCTGTGGAATGACCTGTATGGTGCACTAAGGAAGAATGGGTACTCTGGGCCCTGGGTGGGTAGCTCAGTTGGTTAGAGCCTCGTCCCAAAACACCAAGGTTGTGGGTTTGATCCCCAGTCAGGGCACATATTAGAGTCAACCAATGGCCCAGCCAGAGTGGCTCAGTTGGTTGAGCGTCATCCTGTGCACCAGAAGGCTGCTGGTTCAATTCCTGATCAGGGCACATACCCAGGTTTTGGATTCGATCCCAGTCAGGGCATGTTTGGAAGGAAGCTGATTGATGTTTCTTTCTCATATCTATGTTTCTCTCACTGTCTCTCTCTCTCCTCCTTCCTCTCTCTAAGCATGTCCTTAGGTGAGAGTTTAAAAAAAAAAAAGAGTCAACCTGCCCTAGCTGGTTTGGCTCAGTGCATAGAGCGTCGGCCTGCAGACTGAAGGGTCCCAGGTTCGATTCCGGTCAAGGGCACATACCTGAGTGGCTGGCTCAGTCCCCAGTAGGAGATGTGCAGGGGGCAGCTGATCGATGATTCTTTCTCATCAGTGATGTTTCTAACTCTTCCCTCTCCCTTCCTTTCTGAAATCAATGAAAACATTAAAAAAAAAAAAAGTCAACCAATGAATGCATAAACAAGTAGAACAATAAATCAATCTCTTTTTTTCTCAAATCAAAGTTTTTTTTTTAAAGAGTGGGCATTCTGGCCAAAACCGGTTTGGCTCAGTGGATAGAGCATTGGCCTGCGGACTGAAAGGTCCCAGGTTTGATTCCGGTCAAGGGCATGTACCTTGGTTGCGGGCACATCCCTGACGGGATGTACAGGAGGCAGCTGGTCGATGTTTCTAACTCTCTATTTCTCTCTCTTCCTCTCTGTAAAAAATTCAATAAAATATATATTTAAAAAAAAAAAAAAGAGTGGGCACTCTGGGGCAGGCTACCAGGAGATAAATAAATCTCAGACCCTCCACTTGCTAGAGGTGTGACTTTGGGCAAGTTATTTAACCTCCGTGTAATGAGTTTGGGCAAGTCATTTAACCTCTGTAAAATGGCCATGTAGCAGTACCTACCTGTATTAGTTTCCTAGCACTGCCATAACAAAATATTATACTATACATTGGCGGCTTAAACAACATAAATTAACTTTCTCACAGTTCTACAAGCTAGGTCAAGTCCAAGATCAAGTTTGCTGTCAAGTTTGTTTTTTTCTGGGGCCTCTCTCCTTTAGTTGCATTCTCCCTGTGTCCTCCATAGTTGTCCCTTGGCCTGTGAGCTATTTGTCCTAATCTCTTTTCATGAGGAGAGTGATATTGGGTTGGGGCTGACCCATGACTTAATTTTCCCTTAATTACCTCTTTATCGTCCCTATCTCCAAATGCAGTCACTTTGTGAGGTACTTACCTAGAGGTTAGGACTTCAATATATGAGTAGGTAGGGAGGGCACAATTCAGCCCATAACACCATCTCATACGATTATTGTGAAGATTAAATGAACAATACATGTAAAGCAAAGATCAGGGGACCTAGAGTGTTTTAAGGGCTTAATAGCTGTTCAACAGAACTGAACACTTAACCTAGAACACTTAATAAGAGTATCCAGCGCGTTACAAATCTTTCTCTGGTGGGATATTGGCTGGATGTGCCCTGCTGGCTCTCTTCTTCGCCAGGTGCTCAGTCTGGCCTCACCTTTACCTTATGGTCCATGGTCCCCATCTTGATCCCACAACTGTTCCATTCTGGTCTGGTCGCTCCCTGGGGACAACGAGAAGCTCTCAGATTTTTTTTCTGTAACTGCTCTCCTCCCCCCCCCCCCCCCCATTTGTCTTTAAAATGAGGAGACATTCTTCCTCAGCTATTCCCAGCTCAGCAAGTGCCTTTCCAATGCTGCTATTTCTACTCTTTGGAGAAGCTACTTATTAAAATTTAATGACAATCACTTACATTTATAAAGCCATTTTCAATTTACAAAGCCTTCCCCCCCCCCCCCCATCCATTATCTCTTTTAATCCTTACCACAGCTGTAGGAAGGATGTTTTTTTCCTCCATTTCATAAATGAAGAAAATAGGGCTCTGAAGAGCAGCATCCTTGACCTGGGTCACGCTGTTGATCCCTGGCAGAGATGGGTCCTACATTCTGGTCTTTCAGTTCCAAGATGTGAGGAGTAGCTCACCTTTCAGGCCTTCTTTTACAGATAAACAGCCCAGGATATCCGCCCTGCTCTCTTTTGGGGGGATGTAGGGACTATTTTAAAAAATATATATTTTTATATTTTTATTGATTTCAGAGAGGAAGGGAGAGGGAGATAGAAACATCACTGATGAGAGAGTATCATGGATTGTCTGCCTCCTGCACGCCCCCTAGTGGGGATCAAGCCTGTGACCCAGGCTTCACACACACACACACACACACACACACACACACACACACTAGAATTGAACTCGGGACCCTTCAGTCCTACAGGCTGACACTCTATCCACTGAGCCAAACCAGCCAGGGCTGGGACTATTTTTATTGGAAGTGACAAAAATTCAACTCAAACTGGCTTAAACAAAAACTGAATTTATTGACTCACCTAATAAAACAACCCAGAAGCAGGTTTTGGGGCATGGATGGATCTAGATGCTCAAACTATGTCATTAGAATTCCGGTCCCCCCCCCCCCTTTTTTTTGAGAATTTTTAAAAAATATATATATATTATTGATTTTTTACAGAGAGGAAGGGAAGAGATAGAGAGCTAGAAACATCAATGAGAGAGAAACATCGACCAGCTGCCTCCTGCACACCCCCCAAAGAGGATGTGCTCACAACCAATGTACATGCCCTTGACGGGAATCGAACCCGGGACCTTTCAGTCCTTAGACTGATGCTCTACCACTGAGCCAAACCGGTTTTGGCTTTTTTGAGAATTTAAAAAAGAGTCTATTTGAGCCAAACTGATGACATGCTGGAAAACAAGAGCTCAAATGCTCCTCTTTCCACTTTTTAACTTCCTTCTGTGTTCATCTTATTCTAAGACAAATGCTCTACTTGGGGTATCAAAGGTGGCTCCAGTAGCTAAAGCTTACAATTCCCCAGTTCATTATTCTCAACAGAAAGAGAACATCTCCTTATAAACTGCAGTAAATGACCTGGATATCCCCTGAACCAATCATTGTGTCTGCTATCGTGGAGTATGCTCACCGTCCAGGCCTGATCATTTGCTTCCCTGTGTGGAAGAGGATGGTGGTGACAATGCGGTGAGTCCCACCAAACCCAGGGACTGAGTAAGGGAGAAAGGAGTTTCTTTAAAGAAAAAGTATTGATGTCAGAAGAGGTGTGGGTGGTGGGCACATCTCTTCAGGGCACCATTGCTCTGCAGAGCTAAAACAGGACAACAAGAGAGGAACTGGGAGCCCATCTTAGCAAGAATTCTCAGTTCTTGTCCTAGCTGGTTTGGCTCAGTGGATAGAGCATCAGCCTGTAGATTGAAGGGTCCTGGGTTTGACTGTGGTCAAGGGCACATGCCAGGGCTGTGGGCTTGATCTTCTTTAGGTGGGGGCATATAGGAGGCAGCTGATCAATGATTCTCTCTAATCATTGATGTTTCTCTCTTTCTCCCTTTCCCTTCCTCTCTGAAATCAATAAAAATATATTTAAAAAAAAAAGAATTCTCAGTTCTTGCCTTGGAAGCAGTCTATGTTTTTTTCCCATGGACTGCCTCCCGTGGCTCACTAGAATAGAGAAAAATGTAGTTACTCATGGCAGAGTAAGGAGAAAAGATGGAGCTTCTGGCTCCAGTAACTTGTGTTCTGAACGGTACCCAAACCAGGAGAACTCATGGAAGGGGACTTTGAAGTGCTCTTTGAGGAAGACCACTTGCCTACGTCCTCCTCCCAGAACTTCCTATCTCCCCAAGAAGCTGTGAGCTCCAGGAGGACAGGGACCACATCTATTTTACCCACCATCTTCTCCCAAGGCCTAGCATGGTATTGTGCCTGGCACACAGCAGGTGCTCATCACATGTTTGTTGCCTGGTTCGTGAATCAGGTTCATCAGCCCAATTAGCAGGATTGATCCAACCTGCTGTATAAGTGACCTTTGTTCTCCATCTGTCAGGTAGGGGAAGGTTTGGAAAGAGACACTCCCCACAACCCCTCCCAGCTTATGATAACGGTATCTTAGGGCTATCGGGAGGCAGGCAGGATGCCCTTTGCAAAGAACCAATAGAAGGTAAGCAAACTTACTGAACACCCAGGTGACATGACATCACATGGGTCTGAGGTCTCCAAATTGTGAGAGTTCATAGACTCATAATATTTTTTATAAGTACCTCGCGCTAACGGATTCGGCCCCTGGAGCTCCAGATTCATAATATTTTTTATAGTAAAAAGTTAACACTGTCGAAACCAGTTTGGCTCAGTGGATAGAGCGTTTGCCTGCGGACTGAAAGGTCCCAGGTTCGATTCTGGTCAAGGGCATGTACCTTGGTTGCAGGCACATCCCCAGTAGCGGGTGTGTAAGAGGCAGCTGATTGATGATTCTCTCTCATCGATGTTTCTAACTCTCTATCCCTCTCTCTTCCTCTCTGTAAAAAAAATCAATAAAATATATTTAAAAAATTAACACTGCCTATTTTTATTTTGCCAAGTAAAGACATTAAAAAGAAATTTCCATTAATTATTATCACCATTTCTTTTTTTAAAAGAGATTTTTTACATTAAGAGAGCAGGAAGTACATAATCTCAGGAAGATAATAACTAGTCCCTTTCTCCCCTAAGGGGGGGAAAAAAGACAATTGGCAACCTTACCTATTTTCCCCCCACCCCCCACCCCTGTTCAGAGGTAAACTTACTCAGGCTGACCCCTGAGTGAGGTCCAGTATTTGGAACCCACGAGTAAAGATTATTTTTCAAAGCCCACTTTTAATCTTCGCTTTTTAAAAATCAAAGCTTAATCCGTTCACTTTACAGATGGGGAAACAGAGGTTCAGAGAGCGCAAGTCCAAGGTCAAAGAGGTAGGTAGTAAGGAGTCAGTTTGAATTTGTCTGAGTGCCAAACCGGGTCGCCTTGGCAGATCCTGAGCCAAAGCTTTCCCCCACTCCAGGGAAAGCAGTGACCCACCCGGCCTTCTTGGAGTGCCCCAGGGTGAGCGCGGCCTCACTTGGATGCTTTGTTCTTAATGATGTACCCACTTCATGCCGGGCACTGGGGACGACAGTGTAAGGAGGGTCACAAACAAGTCCCCACTCTCCTCTCCTGTGCCCTCCCCGTGGGCCCTGTTCCTCGCCGGGCGGCCAGTGAATCCCCACGCAGGCAGGGCCGCTCACAGCCCGGGGCTCCCTCTCCTAGGCGACTCCGGGAGCCTTCCCCGCCTGCCGGACCCACAGGTCTGGACGCGCAGCGTGCACCTTGAGGCGCTGTGATAGGCTGTGAGGAAGGCAATTTGGGAGAGAGAGATCTGTTCCAACCCTATCCCATCACACCGCCTCCGGCTCCTCCCCGCTTCCCATGGACTCTGCGGGGACCCATAGCCCCGCCGCGTAGGCTGGGAGAAAGGGGTTCCCCAAACCAGAGGGCCCTACCGTGCAGGGGACTCATCGCTCCGGCTGGGCGCGCCGCCCGGACCCGGGCCCGGGCCCGCCCCGTTCCGCACGCCCGCGGCGGGAGCGCGCCTCCGCGCTGCGCGCCTGGGCCCCGGGGCGCGCGCCTTGGCACCGGAGCGCGCCCGGCAGAGCCGAGCAAGATGGAGGCCGCGCCGCGGCCGCCGCCTGGGCTGAGGCCGCCGCTGCCCGGAGCGCCGAGCCGCGGCGCCTAGGTCGTCGCGCCAGTGCCGGACCCGCTGCCCCGGACCGGGCCCAGGTGGGTGTCCCCGCACCCTGTCCCCGCGGCCGCCGCCTCCGTGTGTGTGCGCCCGGCCTGGGCGCGGGGCAGGCCCCCCCCCTCCATCCCCGGCCCTCCCCGGCCCGGCTGCTCGCCGGCGCCCAGGGGGCATCTCCCGCCCGCCGCCGCCCCTCCCAGCCCAGACAGCCTGCCCACCCTCGTCCCCTGGGCCTGGCAAACCCCTCTCTGCCCAGCCCCGGCGTGCCAGTCCTAGGCTCCCTCCCGGCTTCCGAGGAACCCCCCACCCACCCCGGGTCCAGACCCTGCAGCAGTCCCAGCCTCCGGCCCCTCTGTAGCCTCACCCTGATCCCTCACCCTTAGACCCTCACACCAGCCTCCCTCCCTGTCCCAGCCCCCTATCACCTTCCCAATCCCCCCAGGGAAGCCCCTAAGATCCCCTTCCTACCCCATCACAGAAGCCCCCACTCCCCTCTCCACAGCCCTCTCCTGGATACCCGATACCAGACCTCCTCTCCCTAACACCAGCCTCCCCTTCCCTCCCGAGCCCCCCCTCTCTATAGCCTCTCCCTGCTAAACCCCCAACACCGACCTCCTCTCCCCAATACCAGCCCCCCATTCCCTCCCGAGCCCCCTCTCTATAGCCCCCCCCGCCCCTGCTAATCCCCCAATACCGGCCCCCAGCCCTCAGCCTCCATGCCCTCTCCGCATGGTCCCTCTCCACTCCCCTAATACCGGCCCCCACGCTCCTTCCCCAGCTCCCCGCGACCACTTCCTAACCCCCCATCCCAGCTCCCCTATCACCACCACGGCCCCCTCCCTCCAGCCCCCCAACTTCCACACGGCCCCTTCCTAAGTCACCCATTGGAGATCTCTGCCCACAGACAGCGAGCACCCAGCCCTCTCCTGACCCCCTGCTAGCTCCCCCGCTGCAGCCCCCGGGGCTCCCCGGCCCCGCCCCAGGCCCGGCCTCAGGGCGGCTTCTCGGTGCGTCCCCAGCTCCCGCCTGGTCGGTCGGTCCTGGGCCGGCGGCCCCCGCCAGCCGCCGCCGCCGGCCCCGCCCCCGGGCACCATGCTGCCCTCGCAGGAGGCCTCCAAGCTCTACCACGAGCACTACATGCGGAATTCGCGGGCCATCGGCGTGCTGTGGGCCATCTTCACCATCTGCTTCGCCATCATCAACGTGGTGGTCTTCATCCAGCCCTACTGGGTGGGCGACAGCGTGAGCACCCCCAAGCCCGGCTACTTCGGCCTCTTCCACTACTGCGTGGGCAGCGGGCTGACGGGCCGCGAGCTCACCTGCCGCGGCTCCTTCACGGACTTCAGCACCATCCCGTCCGGCGCCTTCAAGGCGGCCGCCTTCTTCGTGCTGCTCTCCATGGTGCTGATCCTCGGCTGCATCACCTGCTTCTCGCTCTTCTTCTTCTGCAACACCGCCACGGTCTACAAGATCTGTGCCTGGATGCAGCTTCTGGCAGGTAAGGGAGGGGCGGGGGTGGCGGGCCCCCTGGAGCAGGGGCTGCGGAAGGGGCTCCCTCCTTCTGGGGCCCATTCTTGGGGGGAATCAGAGACAGACTCCGCTCCTCTGTCTGAAAACACACCTTTGGTTGTCCCTCAGCAGGGAGGGGAGCATTCTTATGAGAGAGACGCCTTAGGAATCGGTCTTTGGGGCTGTGGGGTTGGACATGGGCAGGCTGCGTTGATGGATGGGTTAGAGTTATGGTTGAGTGTCTCTGAGGGTCTCGGAGACACTTGGTTGGCTGTTTTAGGGGAAATGATGACCAGAATGCGGAGCGACTCTAGGTGTGAATGATGTTTGTTGTATTGGAAAAAAACAAACAAACTTGGGATGGTGACTCAAGAGATCTGACTTTGACCTTTCACTTCCTGACATCATCAACTTGGATCTTTCACTTTACTTCTCTGGGGTTCAGTCTTTCTCATCCATAAGACAGTGGAGAGGATTCCAAGAACAAATGAAAGAGCGTCTCGTAAACTTTAAAGTGCTGTGCTAAGCTAGAGGAGGAGGCTGTCCATCGTATCTATTCAGTGTTTGAAGAGTGGGCAGTTGGCAGCACCTGGACTAGTCTCCATTCCCCACTCTCACTCAAAGCAGGGAGGAGGGTTCTGGTGCCATGCCCAAATGGGAATGAACTCCTAGGACCCTCTGAAATGTTTGGCTAAGACAGACATCTTACCCTAAGAATCGGAGAAGGGCCCTTGGGAATAAAAATTGCTGAGGCAGTTATTTTCAGGATCCATTAGAGTCCCCCACGCCTGCCCGCCTTTCGATCGAAGACAGATTTTGAAGATTCAGCAGCTTGGGCATTTGCCTAATTGCAGGCAGAGAAGAGAGTTGGGCTAGGAAAAGTGGGGCCAGAAGTTGGGGGAGGAGGGCTGATGACGGCTCGGAAAAAGTCTGGAGCCCTCCAGGGTGAGAGGGAGAAGGGGAAATACAATGATCATGCAACAGAGATAGTTTTTCAAAATAAGCACCTCAGAGCATTTAACAAGTGTTTTATTATTATTATTTCTTGATTTGGGTGAGAAACATCAATTTATTCTTTCACATATTTTATGCATTCATTGGTTATCTGTGCCCCAACTGAAGATCAAACCTGCAACCTTGGCATATTGGAATGACACTCTCACCAACGTGGCTACCTAGCCAGGGCCAGCATTCAACAAGTGTTGGCCCCTTCAAAAGAGTCCCATGGAAGAAGTGCTTTCTCACTCGTCGATTTTTCCACTGCTGAAATCCTTGTAGGGAATTATCTTTGGTGCATGGGGTGTATTCTCTTGAAGGTCATCATTGAGGGGAAACTCCCCTCTTTAAAGGAGGAATATGATTTTTTTGGAAATGGCTGGAAGTTACTCAGGGACAAGTGTAGAAAATACGATGGGTGATCAAATTGACAGTTGTCACTTGGGGTGAAAGCCAAGGAGTGAGGGCGAGATCTTGAGACTGGTTTGCTTTCCAAGGGGCTTTCTACACATGCAGGCAGGGAGGACCGTGCTGCTGGAAGAAGTGCCCAAACACCCAAAAGAACGACTTTGAACAAGTCAGTGCTTATTCAGATATGGACATCCTCTGGGCTTTTTCAGTTCATTCAACTTAGATTTTTTTTTTTTTTTTTTTTAAGCAAGTGAGAAAGGAGAATTGTAGGACATGGGACCTATCTCTCCATATATCTCAGTGGTACCCAGAATATGATTTTGTGTATTTAAATTCTATTCTTCTTCCAAAGGCAAGTTGGAAAGAATATAGGTTCAGTTGAAACCCCCAGTTCCTCAACCTTAATTTGGAGTTTGCAGATGGGTTGCTGACCTCTTGGCCTCTTAATTCTCTGTAATCTACATGCGTTTAATCTTGGGGACTGGGTGAACTGCTCCACAACCCCCGTGTAATTATAGAATTTCAGGGATCTTAGAGATCAGCTCCTTCAAATACCACCTTCCCCGCCCCCATTTATTTATTTTTTATTTTAAAACATATTTTTATTGATTTCAGAAAGGGAGAGAGAGAGAGAGAGTGAGTCCAATGATGAGAGGGAATCACTGATCTGCTGCCTCCTGCATGCCCCACACTGAGATCGAACCTGAAACCTGGGCATGTGCCTTCATCAGGAATCGAACTGTGACTTCCTGGTTCATATGTCTACACTCAACCCCTGAGCCAGGCTGGCCGGGCCTCCTGCCTCCATTTTATTTTATTTTATTTTATTTTATTTTATTTTATTTTCAATTTTGAAGAACTCAGTTTATTAACTGACCAGATTACAAAAATAACTATGGTTATGATAACTAAGATACCTTAGTTCATCCTTCTAATAAGCCTGTTGATCTGGTCTTCCCTGTTCCCAGCATCTCCACCTTCTACAAAATGGGTGGTCTTCTTCTTCATCCCACCCCGAGGAGAAGATAACTTGGAGGGCCACAGGAAGTTGTTCACTTCTTTGAAGTGCTTTCCAACAGTGTAGATCTCATGAATCAGATCTTCCATGCAGATGATGCCATATTTACCAAGAGATCGAGCAATCAATGAGTTATCTGTCAGGGCAGTTAGTTTTTTGTTGATTTTGCCATAACCACGTTTGTAGATCAATTCATTTACCGACTTCAGATTTGGGTACCTCCAAGCAATGTAAGGCTCCACAATCCTCAGCATGTTAATGGAAGTCTTGTTGAGCTTAACAAAGGTGCCATTGAAGATCTGACGAAGGCGAAGAAGCTGCAGCACCTTTCGGCTCACACCATTGATACCTCTGATCCTGATGACAAATGCCAATTTGGGTTCGGCAGGTACGTAGAAGTTGCCGGCTTTTCTTGCCATCCTAGCCATCCAAATCTCGTCCTGTACATCTGCCTGTACTCCTTGTGATAGTGCTTTGCTTTCTCATAGACGAGCTTCCTTCTTGCCTTTCCAAGCATCTTCTGGGCAAATTTCTTTCTCAGGTGCTTGATCTTCAGCTCTGCAAAATTCCTTCGCTTTTTCTTGAGGGTTTCTGGCACAGCAGGAACCTTCTTCTTCTTCTCTTCTGCACCCTCCATGGTTCCAGCTGGAAAAGAACCTGCCCCCATTTTAGAGAGAAGAGACTGAGCCTAGAGAAATTATGGTCTTTCCCAAAGTCACTCAGCCAGTAAGTGAGTAAATTAGTCTCAACTCCTAGCCCAGTGCTCTTTCCCTTGTGTTACTGTCCCACCCTGAGGGCTGTTATCAGAGTTGAGCAGTTGATTTCATTTTGCTTAGATTTCTGAGTTGATTCCTTACCTGCTTTGTGATCATCCTTATGCAATGAGTTGTGATACTGAGATCATTCCTGTCTCCAAGGGTTTAAGAGCATTTTATAAGGCTATAAAATGCAATTCCTTCTCTTAAGCTTACCATCTAGTTAGATCACTACATTGGTCAGCGGTCTTTCACTAGCAAGTGACAGAAACCCAACTCAAACTGGCTTAAATAAATAAAAATGAAATAAAGAGAGTATCCCTGAACAGTGTGGCTCAGTTGTTTGGAGCATGATCCTGTGTACCAGAAGGTTGAAAGTTCGACACATGCCTAGGTTGGAGACTCAAGCTCTCACTTAGATGTTTCTTTCCTTCCCTTCCTTCCTCTCTAAAAATAAAATAAAATATTAAAAAATATTAAGTAATAAAGAGGGTAGTGTTTTTGACTCATGTAACTTAAAAGTCAAGAGTATCTGGCTTCAGCCAAAACCGGTTTGGCTCGGTGGAGAGAGCGTCGGCCTATGGACTGAAAGGTCCCGGGTTCGATTCCGGGCAGGGGCATGTACCTTGCTTGCGGGTACATCCCCGGTAGGGGGTGTGCAAGAGGCAGCTGATCAATGATTCTCTCTCATCGATGTTTCTCTCTATTCCCTCTCTCTTCCCCTCTGTAAAATATTAATAAAATATTTTTTTTTAAAAAAAGAGTATCTGGCTTCAGTCATGGATGGATCAAATAATGCCATTATAAAAACAAAAAACAAAAGAAAAAACAAACACAAATAATGCCATTATAATATGTGTCTCAGATGGATCAAATAATGCCATTATAATATGTCTCTCTCCATTTCTTTGTTCCTCTGTGTTGGCTAATTTTTAAGCTTACTTCTCTCTTTTTAAAAAAATATATTTTTATTGGTTTCAGAGAGGAATGGAGAGGGAGAGAGATAGAAACATCAATGGTGAGTATCATTGATTGGCTGCCTCCTGCATACCCCTTACTGGGGATTGAGTTCACAACCCAGGCATGCACCCTAGACCAGAATTGAATCTGGGACCCTTCATTCCACGGAGGCATACAAGCCAGGGGAAGTCTGCTTCTCTTTTGAAGCTTATCAATGCTGAAAAGAGAACACCTGTTACTCAGCTTTGGTCAGGTGTCCACCTCTTAATTAATCTCTGGAACACATGGACTGATAGTAGAGGAAGGTCAGTTCCTGCAAAGGGAAGTCAAATGTGACCACTGGAAGAGGGATACTCTCGGTAAGGCAAGTGCAGACAAAGTGGAAACTCAGGGCAACAGAGGAGGCTATGGGCTTACTTGGAAGGTGAGACTCAAGCAGGACAGGGTGTGGGCAGGTGTGAGGTGTGGGAGAGCATTCTTAGTGGAGAGGAAGAGCATGGACAGAGGCACAGAGGTAAGAAAGCCGCATCTGGATGGAGCGTGACATCGACATAGGGGACTAGCAGGAGGGAGGAGAGGCCGGGAAGGAGCAATAGGGCTACAATGTGCAAGGTTCTCAATACTGCATCAAGGAGTGTGGACTCGCCAAAACTGGTTTGGCTCAGTGGTAGAGCGTCGGTCTGCGGACTGAAGGGTCCCAGGTTCGATTCCGGTCAAGGGCATGTACATTGGTTGCAGGCACATTCCCGGTAGGGGATGTGCAGGAGACAGCTGGTCGATGTTTCTCTCTCATCGACGTTTCTAGCTCTCTATCTCTCTCCCTTCCTCCTCTCTGTAAAATATCAATAA